TAATTATCAGTTTTTTTTTAAAGTCCAATAAATCCTCAGTAATCCTCGTCACTGACCCCAAGCAACCGCAAGGGAACTGACGGTGCTCCTGCTTCGATCTCTTGCGTTAAGCCTTTCGTCGCCGCTGTGTTCAGTGCACGTTTGGAGGTCCTCCCGTTTCCGGTTGATAGCATTGTGCATGCCTTCATTTATGTATGTATACACACTCTCACTTACACATACATGTACACACAGATATATGTGTGTGTGTGTGTGTGTTTATGTATGTATATACAATGTATATATATATATATATGTATGTATATATATATATATATATATATATATATATATATATATATATATATATATGTATGTATATATATATATTACACACACACACACACACACACACACACACACACACACACACACACACACACACACACACAATATATATATACATATGCCCACAGTATATATATACCTATGATTTTATGTATATAACTTCATTTACTTCATTGCGTGTCCTGCATCTGAGTAAGCTCCCGCCCGTTCTCATCCTTGAGATCAGAAAGGCATTTCCAGTGTTCGCAACATGGGATCAATTTCCAGTTTTTTGTTTTTTTTTTTCTTTTTTTTTTTCTTTTTTTGTGTGTGTGTCGGTCGTGAATTCTTGATCGGCCTTTGACCTTTGACCCTCCTCGGTGCAATCTCAGACACGGGGGAGGTTGTTGGCTGGTTTGAAGAGCAATAATCATCAACTCAAATCTGCCTTCTTTTTTTCTGTCTATGCGGGTTTCTCTCTTCGTTTTCCTTTCACCTCGTTTTTCTTTTCTTTGTTTTTTACTCTTGGTGTGCTTCTTTCGTCTATTCATACACTTGGATATTCTTAAATATGTATAGTATATGCATATGATATTTTACTGTTATATATATACTTTTTCCTTTTACATGAACAAAGTAATAAAGTAATATAATTATCAACCTCATTATCCTGATCCATTAAATATGACACATTTTTTTTCTATGAAAAAAAAAAATACAATTAAACTTTCCTTCTTTATGATCATGAATTTTCCTTGAAATTGTCATTTGAATATTATTGTTCTTTATTTGTGTCATTGTGTTGTTTTCCTTCTTTATTTTTTTAACTGTATTTCTTTTTTTTGTTGTTGTTGTTGTTACTTCAGTTATTCTCTTTTTTATTGTAATTTCTCTCTTTTCTTTAACAGTCTCGTTTTCAATTTTCACATCCAATCGCACAGTGAGTCAGCCTGACACCTGGGGATAGTAAAATATAATAAATATCCTTTTAAATCGCTAAAAAAAAAATTAAAGAAAATTATTCAAACCGTTTTTACCTGCTTACCCCTCCCCCCTCCCCTTCCCTCCCTTCCTCCTTTTTGGGATAAGATAGCATAGATAGCATAACGATAATCGTGTGTGTGTGTGTGTGTACGCTCTCTCGTTTTATTAATTTATTCTTTTGTTCACATCTGTTGTGCATTCGAGAGGAAGGAAAATAAAATCATGTGAGGTGTTATTACGCACAATCTGAGTCCTGTCACGATTTTCTAACTCGTGTTCATTTCTTTATATTCATCCTCCCTCGTACTTGTCCTTTCCTCTGCTGGACTTTGAGAAAGATGTAAAGCAAATTTAATTGAGAAAGAGGTAAAGCAAATCTAATCAAAGCGATTATTCGAGGTATTACCACCATTTTTTTTCTTGGTAAATGACAGTTGAAGGGGACCAGGGCGGGGGAGGGGGTGCAAAGAGGAAAAAGAGTTATATTTCCGAACAAAGGGATTGTCAGTATTTCAAAACATGCACCATGAAACTGCTGTTGAATCATCAGTATTATAAATGGAAGTATTAACAACATTCTCTCGTCACGTGTTTTCTCGTTTCCTTTTTAAACTTCGGTACGTGTTGAGATCTCCTCCATTCTTTATCTGAATGAATGAATTGACGAACAAAAGAGAATCAGAAATGAAAAATAAAGTCCTGTCCTCCCCTCCCCCCCCCATCCCCAAAAGAAAATCCGAAATATATCTCGCCTGCCGAATTTCAAAGGGACATCCTGTCTTGAGGCAAACATCCTGTGGAGAGCGGCACTTGGTAAATCGTCAGGTGGTCGGTTAGATAAAGCGAAGACACTCCAAAGCAGGGACAGGAAAGGGGACCCTAAGACACCGGATAAAATTTGACATTTAACGTTTGCCCATTTTTTTTTTTTTTTTTTTTTTTTTTTGAATCTCCCCTCTCCCTTCGTTTCTTAAGCTCGCTGTCTCCTTTGTCTCTGAATGTTGCTGTTGTTTCTTTTTTAATTATCTCTATCTATCTCTCTCTATCTATATTTATCTGCCTTTAATTTACTTCTGCCATTTTCTTCCATTTCCTGCCTCTAATTTTCGACAACATGCCTAGTTTTTATGTAAGCATTTGTATAATAACCATTTTATTTACTATCTCCATTGATGATTTAAAATTGTCCCCTGTTTTACTGAGATTAGAT